TAGGTCCTGACGTGTGAGTTTTGGGTTGTGGATGCGGGCGCAGTGTTCTTTGATGGCTCCATTTTGTAAGTGCATTGTTAGGCGCCTTGACAGGGATAAAGATATCTATTTTTGTTACTATCTCGAATACACCTAACTTTAGCACATGGTTTTCTTATTGAATTCTCATTGAACACAAAATTGACATCATCTGGAATAGCAAGGTAGACCTTATAATATTGTGAATAACCACTTCTGTTAAATTTTGTATATCAGCAGGGTTCCAATAATAATAATTGACTTTTTGAAACTTTGTAACTTTTTTTTTAAGTCTAGTTTTGTATCCTGTGTGTTTCTATATAAACTTTTCAAGCTTTATACTTTTTAAACTACTTTAAGTGAAAATGTGATTTTTTCAACTTTCTTCTGATGCAGGGAAAGTCCAAGTTGATCCATCCCCAGCCTAACTGTATGTTAGAACCTACACCAAACTGTGAATGCCACATGTCTGCTTTAAAAGTAGACTTTCCTTCATGTGGGTTGAAAACTGCATATTTCTACACTCAGGTACATTAAAATATTTGTTGTCAAAAACTTTGATAATTGTGATAATAAACACAAGATTACTATGGATAAGAAGTAAAATATTTTTGTAAAAAGAATGATAATTAGTTTTTATAATCAGTGTGTATATGCATACCTATAGACGGGTGTACATTACTAATAAGAAAAATTAAAGTTTCATCATAATTGAAAGCATTGAAACTTAAAAACATAAAAAATGTTCAGTAAAACATAAAATATTTATACATTTCTCACAAAAGCACATTCATGTCATTAATTGATAAAGAAGTAATTTTCAACAGAAACTTAACTTTTTTCTACACTTTATAGGTTTTTGAGCAGCCATGGTTATTTCACATATTTTTGATATTTTTCTCAATATATCATTTATGTAAGTTTCTATGCCCATCTGATCAATAGGATCAAAGCTGTCAATATGTTCCCATGCAGAAACATTAAAGTTTACTACGGTTTGTTTCCCACCTAAAGCTAGCTTGCTATAAGTGTTATGTACATTAGTAGAAAGTGCACTAAATGCTTTTTTTATAATTAACACATAAAATCCTTTAAATGTACTTTGCTTTAAATTATATTTGGGCCTGGCATGGTCTGGTTAAGGTGCTTCATTCACAATCTGAATTCCTGTCATCAAACATGTTCGCTTTTTCAGCTGGGAGGTGTGTTATAATGTGATGGTCAATCCCACTAATCATTAGTAAAATAATAGCCATAGTATTGGCAGTGGGTGATGTTGAATAGCCGCCTTTCCTCTAGTCTATCAGTGCTAAATTAGGGATGACTAGTGAAGATAGCCCTTGAGTAGCTTTGTGTAAAATTCAAACCAATTAAATTATATCAGAGATGTCAGTTGTTGAGCCAACTTTTTGACATTTTTGTAGAATCATAACTTTCACAAAAATTAAGCAATTTTGATAAAAACTTAGGCTATGAAACATTACTAAAATAATATCAATAACTAATATTAAAATGTAAAAGTGCCTAGTAGCCAAAATACATCATGTTCCCATATGGGAACATTGGCAGGAAAAAGACTTAATGAACTATAAATCCTCTTGTTAATTGAATGCTAAGATTTATTTCCTTCTTTTTAACCTATAGTGAAACATGTATACAAAGAATGAATTATTGTCTGTTGTTGTTACTCCTACAGTATTATCTATATGAATACAACGAAGATCAACTTGAAAGTATTCCAAGACACATATGTCCATATGCATTAGTAATCTTCAACTTTGACATTTCCACACCTTCACTAACACAACATGGGTTTAGGTAAGTATTACTTTTAATAATCCACTGGGCTTAGAATATATTAGGTCATCAAGAAATTAATGTTGCTTTTTTTAGAAAAAATCCAAACAACTTATATATTAAAACAAAACATTTATTAAATGAA